AAACAAATAAACGCTTAAACTTTTCATGGCCAATTTGTGTATGAATATATAGTTAAAATGTGCCTGTCTTTCACAATGTGTATCTACATGAGGTGATACACTCAAATTTTGTGTTCCTTCACCTGCTCTGTTGTATAGCTTTTTTTTAGTTACTGTAAGCGTATAACACTGTTTTTACATTGTCCTGAAAATTCTCATTCTCGCTTGATTAGCCTGACAAATTTTCATGTGGAAACAGTTACATGCGAACAACAGAAAGCAGCTTGGCGGTCTTATGAACCCCAATTATATGAGAGGACAGATGCTAAACCAGTCAAGGTTACATACCCTCTTTTGGAACCTCTGTAATTTTAAGGTGTTTGATGAATTAAGATTCTGCATGGGTATTCCGACTCTTAAGAAAGTTACTTATCAGTACTCTAGTGAACAGTTCTGTCGTATATATATAGAATGTGGTTCTAATGAGAAACAAGCCTTAGTGTAAGAGTCATGAGAACACTATTTTTCACACCGTGTAATGCTATTTTTAGTTGTATTTGGGGCTATCTTTAGAAAATATTCTTAAAAACAGCAACACTCTCTATATATAATAACATCTGTATAAATGATGGCACCATATGATATTAAAAGTATCATCATACACTATTAAAAATAGCATCATATACTGTTATCATGGTTCTCACACCGGCACTTGCTTTTATTAGCATCATATACTGTGATGGGTTTTCACCATAGGCTCTTTGTGTCAACATCTTTTGCTATGTGCCACTTCTCATTCTCACATTTGATATTTATGTCTATAATATTGAAGCACACTGAATAAGAAATTAAAAATAATATTAATAAAAAAAATAAAGAATCTCGACCAGTTTATTTAATTTATATAGCTACCAAGATGATATAGTTAAAGAAATATTGTAATAATTATTATTTCACACGGTATATTGGGAAATTATTATGCTAGTACTTTTCACTTTCCCAACAACAATGATTGTGTTTTCTTATATTGTGTGAAAACAATGAACCTATCTTTGCATATATGGACAAATTAGCCCTGAGCCTGCACTTTCAATTCATTCATTCGTAGATAATTATTTTTTTCATTTCATTTGAAATGTGTTTTGGACTAAAAAATCTGTCTTTATTCAGGGTGCTTCAGGGGCTGTCCATGAATACCAATTTCTCCCTGAGAAGCCACCTGCTAGGTATGATGACTATGACAGAGCTATGCCACCACATTTTTACGGTTTGCCTAATCCAATATCAAACGTGAGACCTGTGATACATAGCAATGAGCAAGTATCTTCTGAATACCTCCAAAACCAGATGCCGGACTTACATATTTTACCTCAGCAAAGCATGCAGAAGGTTCACTTGTCTCCCGCTCCCAGAGAAGTTGATATTCATCCTCCATTGGACTCCATGGTGCATACCAGCATTGACACTCATCTTCTTGTTCATCCAGTCACTCGTTTGGCTGATAAAAGTATAACACCAGATAAACGCATCGTACTTGACCATGAAAGATTGGAGAGGAAGCGGAAGGTAATTTTCTCTTCTTTCTCTCTCTCTCTCTCTCATAAAATTTGATTACCTCAAGCTATTTCTCTTGTGATATATGCGCAGCATTGAAATGGATAGTCCATAGCTATCTATCATAACGTTAGTTGTCAACAAATGTTCTACTTTTATCTGTAGCCTTCGTGGTACATCAGCTCAATTCAGGATAATTCATCAACTTTTGCCAAAGGATGTTCCTCAATGCATTCTTGCATTATGATTCGCAGGCCGAAGAAGCTAGAATAGCCAAGGAAGTCGAAGCTCACGAGAAAAGGATGAGAAAAGAGCTAGAGAAACAAGATATCATAAGGAGAAAGGTATATTATTATTGAGTTTCTTCTATTTTATGCTTCCTTCAATTTCACCGCTGCTCAGTTGACTATTTTCGGTTTGTCTATGCAATCTTCTTTTGCTGACAACTTCATTGATTGTTAATGTAGAGAGAAGAGCAGATGAGAAAAGAGATGGAAAGGCAGGACCGTGAACGGCGAAGGGAAGAAGAGAGACTATTGCGTGAAAAGCAGCGTGAAGAGGAGCGATACCTCAAGGAGCAAAGGCGTGAAATGGAACGAAGGGAAAAATTTCGACAAAAAGAATACATAAGAGTTAATCCCTTTTTCATCTGTTGACCTATCTATGTACCCTAAGATAGGCACATTGTCGATTCTCGTCCTTCCCAAATTATAAGCTGGTATCTTTTATAGTGAAATACATCCTTTTAACAAACTTAATTTCAACAATACTTTAAATTTGTAGCATTTACTGCAAGGGTAACATAAGAAGAAGAAATGTGTTAAAAACATTTTTTTCGCTTAAATAAAAGGAAAAAAAAATGCAATTTCGGAAATGAAAACTTTATTGGTTCAACCTCTTATTTTTTTATGAAGAGAATGAATCTTTAGTCTTGAAGGATCTGATTAAAAGTCCTGGGGTAATGATTTAAGACCGAAACCCAACAGTGATGCGTGTTCTTAATCTGTGGGAAATATAGTAGAAGCCTATCTCAGCCCGAGGGAGAGAACTTTTCTATTTAATTTGGTATGCTATAACATGACGCCTTTTGATTCAATGATGTCTTCTATCACAGGCGGAGAAAATGAGGCTTAAAGAAGAAAGGCGTAGGGAGAAGGAAGCTGCTAGGCTGAAAGCTGCAAACGACAGGGCAGCTGCTCGCAAAATTGCAAAGGAATCAACGGAGTTGGTTGAAGATGAAAGGTTGGAACTCATGGAGCTTGCAACTTTAAGCAAGGGATTACCGTCTATTTTGGCTCTAGACAGTGAGACATTAGAGAACCTCGACTTGTTTAAAGGTATTTTATTGATTTACTTCCATGTTAATACTCATCTGATCTCTTTTTCTTACTTGATCAATGTGGTTTTCGCATATTCATATGAAATATCGAAAGTTTATACGTTTAAATTTGGCTGTTATAATTTTCTGGCAATTAAGTTCCTGTTGAATTGATTCTTTAGATAAGCTCCCAGAATTCCCGCCTGAGCTGGTGCTCATGAAAAAGCTTTTCAGAGTTCAACCATGGATCGATTCGGAAGAGAATGTCGGCAATCTTTTAATGGTAAGTCTTTAGTTCTTAGTAATGATCGTTACTTCTAGCATTCTTGCTTTTACTTATATATATGTGTGTGTATGTATGTATATATATTGTGTGTTTGTGTGTGCGTGTATTGATTGATTATAGTACTATCCAATACCAGTTCATACCTGTATTTGTCCATCTAATAACTGGAGGAAGTGTATCTTACAGAGAATCTTAAACATATCATTTCATTTTCAACTGATATACATCAATAGATTTATATTGGTGTTACTTAGTAAATGCACTTCCATAGTACTGCAAATTTTATTTTTTTGTGTCTAAGCATAATTATATTTTGTTGGATACTGGAAAACATTTCCAAGTGCGTTATCGTTCTCCTGTATTTAAATTTTAAACAATTTCATTATATGTCTATATTTGTCGATAACTTCTAGATTTTGGGTAGAATTTTTTTCATTTCACACGGGTCATGTCATTTTCATTTGGGAAAAATGGAGGACCATTAGCAATTCATTGACCTTCTTATGTGACTTCATGGGTCATGTCATTTCCATTTGGGGAACTCATTGCTTCACTATCCATTACCAAGTGGTGTGCATTATGTAGGTTTGGAGATTCTTAATTGCTTTTGCTGATGTTCTTGGTCTCTGGCCCTTCACATTGGACGAGTTCATTGAAGCGTTGCATGATTGTGTAAGCTCTTAAAATTCCTCTCTTTAAATTTTGTATTAGGCAATATAAACGTCGATTGTGCTCACATGCTTGCAGGATTCAAGATTGCTGGGAGAGATCCATATGGCTATATTGAGATGCATTATGAAAGACATTGAAGATGTTGCAAGGGCACCTGCCAATACAATGGGAGCAAATCAAAGTTCTGCTTTCAACCCTCTTGGAGGACATCCACACGTTGTTGAAGGGGTGTGTTATTCTTTTATTTCATTTTGCATTGATATTATTATTGCTATCCATTTTTTCCAGCAGTTATTCATTTGATCACGTCTCGTAATTTTGTGACAGGCATATGCTTGGGGTTTTGACTTTCATAACTGGCAGCGCCTCCTGACTCCATTAACTTGGCCTGAGGTGCTGAGGCAATTTGCTCTGTCTGCAGGTTTTGGGCCAAAGTTGAAGAAGCGAATTACAAATAATCCAGCTCATGCCCCTGATGATAATGAGGCATGAACTTTTTTCTATTTAGTGGTGCTTGTTGCATGTTGATTATATCTTTAGCATGTGTCTACACGTCTCCAAAAGCTGCTAGCCTAAAATATATATGAATAACGAGGTTCAAAAATATTCATTGCACATATAATTATTTTTCGAGTAAGAGAATTCCTCACACTTTCCATTTGGTTTGATATAATTCTTCCAGTTTTATGATATTTTAATGAATATATTTAACTGCAGTGTGATGATGGTGCAGCTGCAATATCCAACCTACGAAGTGGATTGGCTGCTGAAAATGCTGTCACCATTATGCAAGAAAGAGGTTTATCAAATTCTCGAAGGTCTAGGCATCGATTGACTCCTGGGACAGTCAAATACGCAGCATTTCACATTCTATCACTCGAGGGAAGCAAGGGACTTACAATACTTGAAGTTGCTGACAAGATCCAGGTAATTTTACGGTTTAGGATATATTATTACAAAAAGTGCCTTATCCACATAGTTTATGCTGAGCACCAGTATTTTATATCACTGACTAGAATTTTGTTACTTTATATGAAGAGATCTGGACTCAGGGATCTCACGACAAGCAAAACACCGGAAGCTTCTATTTCGGCTGCTTTGTCTAGGGACACGAAGCTGTTCGAGAGAACAGCCCCTTCTACTTACTGCGTACGCTCTCCTTACAGAAAGGACCCTTCTAACGCCGAGGAAATTCTATCGTCTGCCAGAGACAGAGTCCTCGCGTGCCAAAATGGAATTGTGGAAGAAGAAGCTGAGAAGGAAGACCTCGCAAGAGATCAAGAATCTGAAAGTGATGGCCCGGATGATCCTGATGATGTTGATGATTTGGATGCTGTTACAAAAACAAACGAAGCTTCTCATTATGGAGAAAATTCTATAAGTGCCCTTGGGAGTTTGAAAAGTGAAGTTGCTGGTCATGATGTTGAGAACATTGTAAATGATGAATGCGGCCCTGGAGAACAATGGATTCAAGGGCTTTCTGAAATGGAGTATGCAGATTTAAGCATCGAGGAGCGTCTAGGTGCACTTGTTGCCTTAGTTGGCGTAGCGAATGAAGGGAATGCTATTCGTATTGCATTGGAGGTAATGTTTGAACTACAGCTTGAGGGTCCCAATTCCAACATTTATAGTAAAGATTACAGTATATCATCTTTTTTCTATTCACATCACATTTGTATAAATACAACAAAACGCAATATAATAATACACCATTAGGCATTTTACGGACATGATTTGATGACATCTAAACTAAAAAGTAGAGAACTCTCGATACAACAAGAAAACAAATTTCTTGCCATAATAAGAAACTCACTATGCCTAATATTTTGAATTCTGTGACTCAAAAAAAGTTTGCTAATTGATTAAAATTTTTTTAGGAACGACTGGAAGCGGCAAATGCTCTAAAGAAGCAAATGTGGGCCGAGGCCCAACTTGATAAGCGGCGTTTCAAAGACGAGCTTAGTTTCAAATTTCAGCATCAATCATCAGTTGAGCACAGGAGAAGCCCGATGGCGAGTGTGTACATGAAAAACGAGTCATCATCCTTGAAAAAAGAGTCATCATTCGCCGACTTGAACGATCAGCAGAATGAAGAAAATTATCGTAACAGCAATATTACTGAAAAGAGCCCCTTAGTGCACGACTCCTTTGTAGTTTCTGATAACATGTTGCTTCAGCAAACTGCCGAGAAGTCACGATCGCAAATAAAAGCTTTAATCGGTTACCGGGCAGAGGAAATTTATGTGCACCGGTCGTTGCCTCTTGGACAAGACCGAAGAAGGAACAGATATTGGCAGTTTATGACATCATCATCCCGAAATGACCCAGGATCTGGCAAAATATATGTTGAGCTATGTAATCGCGTTTGGAGACTTATTGATTCGGANCGTGTTTGAGTTTCTGCTATAATACTGTATAATCGAGTAAAGAACATAAAATAGTAAATGAGAAATGAAACTGAATTTTGTTAGAAGCTTTTCTTTATATTGCATGTAGGGTTTTGATGCTCTGCTGTCATCTTTGGATGTCCGTGGAATTAGAGAATATCATTTGCATTCAATGTTGCAAAGTATTGGGGCATCATTCAAAAAATCAGCGAGCATTAATTTGTTACGGTCAAATTCCGGTGTCCATTCTGGTGAAGATTTCGAGAAAGAATTTCCAGATATCAAACACAAGCTTGAAAACAATGGAACAGAGGAAAACAAGGTTATTGAAAGATATAAGGATTATTTCGAGTGGCTTTGGAAAGAATGCTTTAATATATCAGGCACCTTGAAGTACGGAACATTTAGGCGTGAAAAGCTGCTGGAAATTTGCAAATCTTGTCATGGCTTGTTTTCTTGGGAGGACAGTCACTGTCCTTACTGTCATAGGACTCACAAAACTTTAGAGTTGCATTTCAGTTTTGCAGAACACATCAGCCAATGTGAAAAGAAAAGTAGTGAAGGGGTTAAAGGGATCATACTAGACCTTTCTCTTCCCCCAAGGGTTAGATTGCTGAAAGTTCAGTTGGCATCCATTGAGGTTAGACTCATTATATGGCGGGGAGTTGTTAGATCAAGTATTTTCAGTTTTCAACTTGATTTTTCTCTTTTTGCAGGCGTCTATTCCTTCAGATGCTTTTAGAACTGTTTGGTCAGACGAGTACAGGGAATGTTGGAGTAGAAAGTTGTACGAGGCATCAACAGCTGAAGACCTTCTTCAGGTTTTCGCAGAATCCCTCATATTGTGCTTTCTTTTTTTCTTTTTTTCTTCACAAAATGTATCTTGATTGTTTTGATTCGCTCTAAATTGCCTTGCATGCCCGTCTCTCTCATTTCCTTTTTCTCAACGATCAGATTTTACATTTTATGCATACCCTCAATTCTTGACTCATTGTATGTGGTTTGTCTTTGGCTGCTATTCAGACTCTGACATTGCTTGAAGATGGCATCAAGAGAGAGTTTTTGTCGTCAAATTACGAAACCACGTCTGAGATTTTGACCTCATCTGGAGCTGCTGGGAATTGTGTCGAAACTTTGTTTATGCCTAAAGAAGTTGCAGTACTTCCATGGATACCTCGAACAACGCCAGCTGTGGCTTTGAGGCTTATGGAACTTGATGTGTCCATCTATTATACACCCGACCAGAAAGCAGCACACGAGAAAGAAAAAGAATCTGGACACTTCATCGTAAGCTTTATTATTTTGTCTATACCACCGATAAAATGGACCTCACAATTTGCATTTATATTTTCTGCAGAAATTTCCTTCTTCGGAAAATTCCATGGGCAACCCATCACAAACTGGGCTCCCACAACAAGACAGCTGCTGGCCCAACCCAATAAATGGCCACACGACCCTCAAGCGTGGCCGGGGTCGCCCAAGAGGCCCTAGTCGCATGGCCCGTGCCACAAAAGCCCAGAAAAAGCCCATTATAAATCCCCAGGTTGGCCCATCCAATTTGACCCCAACAAAAGGTAATAATAATAAATACCCACCACTCCTCCCCAAAAACGGTCGTCGCTCGACCATTGGCAGGCAAAAGCCCTCATCCATCAATGAAAGGGGGGCCAGGGGCAAAATTGTCTTTGAGGATACTACCGCTTTACGACAAGAGGGTTGGAATATGGCTGAGGCCAATGGTGCGGAAAATTCCGCTAGTAGTTCCGGAAGATCGGAATCCGAGTATGATGATGATGTGTCGGCTGCCGGTTTTTCGGGGCACGAGCCGTATAATGAGAGTGTCGATTACGAGCTTGATAGGGAGGATGATGATGTCGATGGTGATGTCAAATATGAGGATAACTACAATTATTACGATCAAGAGTATGTAAATAGTGACTACAACAAGGAGCAAATCCAGTCGAGCCGTGGAGGGCAAGATGGGAAGTTCGATTCGAGTTCGGAGGGTGGTTCTTTGCCGTCTTCTTCTTCTTCGGAGTCCGAGTATAGTTATTGAAAACTTTGGGCAAATTGTTGTAATTTGTTTGTTGGAGTAGCTAATTTGAACTGATTTAAGTGTTAAAGTTATGTGCCTAACTCTTGGGGATGAATGATTTTCACTGATAATGTTGTGTTTAGAAAGTGTTTGCTGGATGTCTACTCAAATTAAAGGTGAAATTGTCATTTTGAGTGCATTTTTTCCTGTCTTCAACTTTCCTAAATTAAATGGGCTTACAACTTGCGATTTTTTTCCCCTTCCTTTACTGATCTTTGAAGATATCTAATAAATCAGATAATAAAAGATGTGGAAGAACGAAAAGATTTCATTGCTTGATCACGAACTTATTTACCTTTCCCAAGTCCCAACGGATCTATTCATGTCAGATACACACACAGATAGACACTTGATATCAAATTACATGTTTCATTTTCACATACGCATCATTTTTAATAATGTATATATATTAATATATTATCTTACAGTGGAGATTCACATAAATCCAAAAACCATCCCCAAAATAAAATATTGCTTGTGCATGCAGACGAAATAATGGCAGCCACATATTTGATGGCGAAAAAAGGAGCAGAAAAATACCGTAGAAACTCATTTTTTAGGTATACACATAATTTGTCATTATTTACTAAACAAACTATTACTAATCACTCCCCAAACAGTTTTTCTCCTAGACTTTTGTATGATCAGCTACATTGTTTTTATTCAGATATTGGTTTTTTATTTTATGGAATGTTCGTGGATTGATATAATCCATTGGGCTTAAAAGTCCCCATTCAATGGGAAATTCATTTTTAATTTCATGATCTTCGTCATTATTAAGTGCATGAACACACTATAACTAATCACGGCCTTGGATAACACGATTTTATGGGGCCTTCTGCATTGTATGATTAGCTGCTTTGTTTTTATTCAGATATAATTGTTTATTCCATGGAATGTTCGTGGATTAATATAATCCACTGACTTAAATGCCCCAATTCAATGGGATT